CAGTGACTCTCCATTCGATCAAAGGTAGTACTCCTCATACCCACGGATCTTCTAGGAAGCTTGCCGAGTAGATAATCTCGGAACTTTGCCAGATCTTCGTCTTCGGATTGACATCGTCTTAGACAGGTGTTGAGGTCGCTGTTGAACTCGATGCTATCCTGTAGATGACTCAGATCGGCCTCTGTCCCTCTCGAGACGTCAATATGTCTCGCTAGATTCTTCAGTTCATCCTTCAGCTCTGCAGATAGGTCAGTCTTATCGATGTTGGGGACATCGATACCATCACAGTTGATGAGACAGCACCTTCCACCACACCCGATATTCGTTGCCGTTGGAGAGAGAGAAGGATACACGCCTAATTTAGCCTTAGATTTCATTTTTTGGTAGGGGCCACGGATCTCTTGCTCAGACTGTACGGTCTGACCGCACCCCACGTCCACGACTGTGGATAGAGATAACCCCAATGTAGTAGGACAAGATGGTCTAGACCCATAGGCATAGGTCATGTTTGGTGCGAGCGTAGCATAGCACCCCGCGTTAGCGGTTGTAGGCGGTGCAAGCGTAGCGTAGCACCCCGCGTTAGCGGTTGTAGGCGGTGCAAGCGTAGCGCAGCACCCCGCGGTCACGGAGGGGATTGGTGAGAATAGCAGATCCCGCTCAGGATCGTGGATACATGATGCGACATGACAGTAGATGTCCTCATCGAAATGGCACTCTTCGTCACTAGTATCCTCTCGGTAGTCGTAGATCACGCTAGCAGAATCGATAGCTTCACTTAGTTTGTGGCCATCGAAGTCTCTCCCCATTGCATACCGAGATACAGAATCCGCTGGATTGCATCCAGAAGGAATATGTCGCACCGTGGCATCGAGCTGAACGCATAGATTACGTATAGCTTGAAGCCGCCTTCTTTCAGGTGCTGGAAGTCGAGTATCGTTCGATGGTCTCCTTAGCCGATATACTGTGAGCTCCGAGTCGATCGCCACAACCAGTCGATAGATAGGTACCCCGGGGCTGAGCTTACTCAATGGGGCTTGGTTCTCCCCATAGATGCTCTTGATCGGTAGATATGCCGATAATGCCTGGGTCCAGAGCAAACCTCGATAGAGGGCATCTAACTCTTTCCTAGGGATAGACCAGGATAGAGTAGAGTTTGTATACAAAGCTCCTTTAGCTGCCAGACGCACGTCAGGTCTGGATTTTAATCGTAGATCGGCGCCCCAAGCATCCTTAGATGCATCTGTGCTGAGGACCAGCTCTGCATCATAGGGAGTATACCTTGACGTAGATATAGTTTTACATACTTGGGTAGTTTCGGAGGCCCATCTAACAACCCGCTGCTGTAACTGATAGGGGATCATTTGATCCCACTCTTTGATCTCCTGGCAGATTCGCCGCCATATAGATCTAGCTCGAATATCCTGTTCTATGATTAGACCCAATGGATCATAGAGAGAAGCCAGGATGCTACTAGATGAGCGCTTGCTCATATATGTAAGGCCCTCAGGTGGCTTAGCAGACATCGTGGGATAGAGGCCATCGTTAGACGGTAGATAGTCGTACCCTAATAGATGTCCACGTGTCTCGATACCCGCTACAGATTTGCAGATCCAGTTCTCGAACTTCTTCAGGTCTTCAGCGGGTAGATCATGCCCTTTGAGTAGGTATGATACAAATCGGTAGTTGCGTTGAGCTTCAGCAACTGTAGATCCTAAAGCGTAGATGTCATCAACGAACTTTAGCATCTTCACGTGGCTCGGTATAGGTGGACCGTCGTATAGATAGTCATAGCCTTCTTCCGAAGGATAGAGTAATACACTCTTGATCCTTCCTGGGTCGATACTTTTCACAGCGACTTCGAAAGTGTCTCCATCGATTTCAGCCGCTAGATGACTCAAGTCGTAGATCTCGTCGATGGTATCATCCACAACACTATCCAACATATTAGGTGCCGCCCTAGTTCCAAATCCAACACGTGACCATAGGACCGTGAAAGGTCCAATACAGGTATACCCCACATAGGGTACGTCTGCACGGCTAGATTGCATTCTACAGAATGCTTTACTCAAATCACCGGCAACGAAGTACTTAGATGACCTCAATAAGAGTAGAGTACCATGTAGACTATTCTGTGGATAACCGCCTCTTAGAGAGTATAGATTTGCCTCTCTATAGTCTAAGACTATACGGCAAGGCGTAGTTGGATGTTGGTCTCGGTAGACTAGATGACTAGCTGTGAAGTGCTCTGGCAGAGGGGCGAGTGACCCTTGATAAGGGGTGCCCTTACTCAGCTTCTCCCAGACAGATTGGCACGTAGATGCTTCTGGCTTAGATGGGTCGAGGCGATTATCCTTGACGATAGCACAGAAACCCTTGGATATGTAACCATCGAGTGCCCGATGGAACATTTCCATCCGCTCACCCGTGATGGCCTTAATAGATGCCAATCCTCGTTTCCTAGCCATATGATAGTTATATCGCGGCCTAGATGTCGGACTTCTCCACGGCACTTGAGGTCTAGCTCGTCCTAGAGGGGCCGAGCTATCTGCAACCCATTCTCGGATGATGGCTTGCTGAGGTGGTAGGTCGTCACTATTGATGGTAGGTAGACTTTCGCCAGAGCTCACGGTCTCTTCTGATACACATAGAGAGTCGTCGAGGTTACCGTCGTCGATTTGAGGGTAGATACCACACTCAGAGTTCAGCGATTTATATGCCTTGAGCGTATCGATCAAATCGTA